CATACAACTTTTATTCTTAGTTTTACACTTTATTACATAAAAATACAGACAATTGCAGCTGGATGCAAGAAAAAAAAAAAAAGAATGTTGTCCCAAATTGCAGGTTTGGATCTTGGCAGCATATTATGACATGAAAATAAAATTACCTCATTTTTATGTATTAGATTTTATAATTAATAAATCCACTGACCTCAACCTTGTATCTTTGAGACTAGCATCCCCCACATACCTGGTGTGAGCAGTGCACACTCACACAGTATTTATTAATAGAATCCATCCATATAAATCTTCAGAGGTTTTTCTGCAGTTCCCCTGGACCATCAAGGACACCAGGCATGAGGCGGGCATACATTAAGCCCCCCTCCTAACTCCAGATTACCACCCGTCCTGCTGCGTCTGGAAGAGAGCTTCGCTGTCACCTTTTTTTTTTCCTTCTTTTATTTTTTATTTAGCAGGCATCAGCATGCGATGTTCTTCTGATGGTGTGAATCCGTCAAGGCCAGGGGGAAGCGATCCAGCTGTCCGCTCTGCATTTTAACACATCCCACCCTCAGCGAGGCGCCGCCGACCCGTCTGACGTGGGCAGAGAGGGAAAGCGACGGCTCCGCGGCCTGGCTCATATTCAAAAGTCTACCTTTCATCGATCGGCGCCCCCGGTAACGTTTACTTTCCTCTCCGCCCTTATGCTTCCTGACAGTTTGTCGATTCCCAAACGAGACTGCTTCCACACCATCACTTATCTGGCATTAGATTATAGGAGACGCGGGGATCATTACTTGAGACGTAATAGCGCATAAAGACTGAAAAATGGTGTGTTTTGGATATGGCTCCGTTGATGTTTCATCTCCAGTGTTTTTTTTTCCCCCCTCTTTTCTCCCAGTCCTGATGTCTAACGTTCAGCAGAGGCTTTTTCCAATAAGCCGAAAGGAGCTGATGCTGCCTCTGACCAGCGGATCAGCGCCGGGAAATTTGTTTTTAATACAGGAAAGTAGAGTTTTGACCTCTGAGTGTAACTCGGCACCACGGGCTGCTGTAATGTCATCAGTGATAATGGCTGAAAATGGCAGATCGAATCAACAGAAACATGATGGACGGATGAGAGGAGAATGTCGGTGATGACCGTCTTTTGTCTCCCCGCCCCATCCTCCCGTTTCCTCCCGTTTCAGTCGTCTCGCTGAATTCTAACGATCTGGATGTGAACAGGACAGCGTCTGGATGCGAAACGTGCCTCTACACCTCCAGATTCACGCGCTCCCCGTCTCAGACTGCCGAGTATCACTTCCTGCAACGACGAGGCATGAAATAAAAAAAAAAACGAGTCCCTAATCAAAAAGAAAAATGTTTTTTTTTAAAATGTATTCAACTATGTGCCCGTTTCAGGTCGGATACAGTGGGGGGTTAATGAAAATTAAAAACTATTTCACGGCGTTCTATATAAAGGAGCGCTCATTTTCTGCTACATTAGGCGCCAGAGGAGGGGAGATGTGAACGGAAGCATTCGAGAGTCTAAGGGAAGAAAATCATTACACCAATACGACTCAACAGTTCACAGAAGGTTCTTCGTGTTTGAAGGACAGCTTCTGCCTTTGGCCCCCACTCGGCGGCCATCTTTGCGCTCTTCCCTCCCTGTCGGGATGCCCCCGAGTTTCATCTGACCACCTTCTTCACGGCGACCTGCTCCGCTTTTTCTGCTGGAAAGAGGAAAAAAAAAATGAAATAGAAACAGGCGATTTAGAGATGGGAGGCACAAGATGCCAAGAAGAAGGAGGAAAATAAAAAAAACAACTTTGAAAGCAACTAAGCTGCATTAATTAGAGGCGTTTTTCCTGCCAACCTGCACAGCTTTTCAACAGTAGCTAAGCAACATTTTTCTGAAGCAAGTTGTGATCATGAGCAGGTCTTGGGAACTTTGAATAAACTACATTACTTTTTCAATTAGCAGTAAATGTGTTTGTGATTCTTGGCTTTCTGAATGGCGGAGAGACGGAGTGCAAAACGCCAGACGTCGTCTAGTAAATCAAGGCCACTGGACATATAGAACGCATGACGGCTAACCCTCCGGATATGATTTATTAACAACTCAGTTTTCTTAAAACATTAACCTTGAAGTCTCATTGTTTTTCAAAGCAGTTGCTCCAACAGTATTCAGAGCTATATCTCTGACAGGAAGACATCTATTGTTGATGTAACACATCAGCACAAGGCACTATACAAAGATAAAATAAAATAGTTAATCTGATCCAGTCTTACATTTTCCAATTGATTCTAGTTATAAAGCAGTGCAGAGTCCAGTATATAATTTGTTTAAGTTTTTAATCTGATGAAACCCAGCAGACTGGGTACAAAACTCAGAAAACTTTCAAAGTCTGGACCTCCAGCATGTAGGAGAGGACTCAATTTTTCTGCTGGTGGCAAGCACTACTTCCTGTTATTAGTCACAAGTAGTATCTACTCTGGGCCACCTGTTAGCTCAAAATCCTTATGGCAATTGGATGAAAACAGTTACTATAAAGGAAAAACTTTAACAGGAAGAAACCTCCAGCAGAACCAATACCGGGCTCAGTGTGAGCATCTTCCTGCTAAGACTGAATGTGGGTTAGTAAATACAAGGAATACACTTACACACACGCACACACACACACAAAGCCGGAGGAAGTGATCCAGCAGTACCTTCTATGTTTGAGGAAGTTAATGGCAGCCTGGTTAATATCAATAAGCAACTTTTTTATCTTCACAGTCGGAGCCACATCATTGTCAAGACTGTAGGTCAACATTTTAACTTTGTTTCAAAGTGCAGTTGATGCTACACTTAGCGTTAGCTTCAGGGGACCGTTCAACATGTTAGAAACAAACTACAAACACATTTATGTGCTTAGACTGCGTCGTCAGATGAAGGCATCAATAGCCTTTTTGCTGTGATGAGTAGGACGTTGAACAACTGGAAGAAGAAAAGTGAGGCTTTAGGCTTCCTCCATTCATTTCTTCTAGGATTTAATGCAAAGTACAATATTCTGGTGAGATCTTGGTTGAAAGAAATGGAATTGATAAAGTCTGAAATGCCAAGTATCCTTACCACACACACTTTCATGTTTTGACAGAGCCATTGGCTACAGTGGAGTATAACTGGTAGTATGTTAGGCTGGCGACGGGCGTTAACTTCTATTTTTTTCTGCCATATTTCTCATATCGGCCACTTTTGACAGAAATCATAACATTCCTGAGTTACAAGCCCAAAAAGCAAACTGTAAAAATTATTCCATATACCCTTAAAGAAAACAACAAGATTCAACAACAAATCAAACTGAACATTGCTGCTGCTGTCTCATCTTTACGCTCCGTTCAAGGTCCAGACTGGACATCATGAGAAATCCCACTCTTTTTCTGGACTCAGAGTCCCCCCGTTCCTCTGTTTTCCTCCCACTCCTCTCATTAGTCACCTCCCCTCATGCCATGGTGACGCCGGCGACGTGCTGCCCCCGCCTCGCTCAGGCCGGCTGAGGGGAGGAGAGCGACCCAGCCACACCGATTCACAGCCACTGTTAGAAGCAAGGCCACCTCCAGAAAGCTGGGCAATCAGCAGAATCAGCCAAGCTTTGAAATGCTGTGAACATAGGAGATGTGGAGTAACGTTACGGTGGCTGAAAAGCCCGCGGGCGTCGGCAGCACGCTCTTTTACACGAGTCTTTAGGGGAAATGGAGATGTTAAAGGACCGCGCTGGAGGTTCTGAATTATTTAAACCCTTAAATTGCAAATATTATGCTTTAGGGTTTCAGATGGCCGACAGAAATGGGGGTTTTGGATCCACAAGTTCATTTCAAAATAAATTTGCTATTTTAAGTTGAGTGAGAGACGTACTAGAAAGAAAGTTGCTCCATGGGACGTATAGTAGATATGACCGATTTTGTCATGTTTCAGCTGAGGGTGATGCCTTTACTGCATCGTTTTATCATTTATTGTGAAAAAAATAAAAAATAAAAATTCATGCTGTGTGAAGAAGTTTGACTAATTGTCACCATCAACTTCAGATACTGTTAAAAACTAACTGAAATGTAAGTCTTACCACCCTCCATCCCCTTAAAAAAAAGATAAATAAATAAAAATCGATTGAGTAGTTTGTGGTGGTTGTGTGACAAAAAAGCAGTGTAAATAAATCTGAAGGCCTGTGAATATATTTGCATGGCAGTTAATTTCTTGAGTGAGACCAGCGGAAATGATGAGGCTAAACATGCTAGCATGTGCTAAACCTTCAAACAGGCTCTCTGAACAGTGGGACATTTCACATACTCTAAATGAAATGCTGTTCATTTTATTAAAATGAGAGAAAAAAAAACTGGTTTCTAGTTCATCGACATTTACTTTAGATTTGTAGTACATATCGCCATATCTTTTCAGCTACATTTGCTCAAAAGTACACTTTGGTACTCTTAACAGCAGGGGGAACGTGACCTATGACCTATTCTTTTTTTTTCCTGAATGATGCCAAGGATATTGCTGTGGGCATTTTTATAGCTCAGTGTTTAATGCATCATTCTCAGGACACAGACATTTCATCTCAATTTGTTTATTCCTTTTATATAAAGGTTGAATGAATGAATGCAGAGCAAAAACTCCAAAAAAAACCCCAAAAACAATCTACACCATAATTAAAAATAGTATCCCCGACACATAATAATGCAACAAACATTTGTTTCGTTATGATTTACGTCCTTATACTTACAAACATCTATTTTGCTCATTTCAATAAAAACTTTATGCTAGTGATGTATTTAAAAAATATATATATATATATATTTTTTTTTTTTTAAATAGCATGCAGCAGCAGACTAACCTGAGGGCTCTTTGGTCTCCAGCAGTCCGTCTCTCTGGACGCTCAGTGACCAGTAGACGTCCCTGAAGGAAGGACAAAGCGCTAATCAGAACCTCGTCTAAAAACACTGGGAAAGGCATAAAAACTTGAAACATACCATGCAATGTCTACAGGAAAATTAAAATCATGCAACTCAGTCTTTTATTTATTTTTTGTTAAATTTAACTCTACAGGTGAAACATTGTCCAAAAAATAAATAAATCCTACAGTAAACAACCTTTACACAGCAAAGAAAAAGTAAACAGCAGAAGATCTGGACACAGATTTGGCTCTGTTCATTTTTAACACTACCCTGTCATATTTTGATAGAAAAAAAAAAAAAAAAAAAAAAAAAAAACAAATTATTTTTGTCCATTAAAAAAAGTGTATGATGTTGGAAGTTACTTTTTTTTTTCTCCTCTTTACTTTTGAACTGAATTTTTTTTGTACTCATGATTGTAAGAATATATATATATATATATATTTTATGTCAAAAGGTTTATGTCAAAGGATAAAACACACTAAGAAATTAATAATTAAACATTTAGGGTTAGGTTACCTTAACAGTGGAGTTGTCTAGGTTATAAGCATCCTCTCCATTGCACTGCCATTACTCTCTACTAAAGTAGCCATCGCGCCAGCATCGTTCATGACAACGAGGCCTAGACCTGAATGGTGGTTTGAATTCAGTTAATTTTCCAAGCGGCTATGAAAGCAAATTCTCATTGACGATTACGACCACAGGTATAAGGATTGAAAAAGTCTTATACATACCCAGGCATTCAATGCTTTAGAACTCTATACACATTAGGAAGCTATCCAGGTTATTTTAGAGGTCTTACCTCTGGCTCCTTTTTAAAAAGTATAGAAAGAGAGAGAGAGAATAAGTTGTGCTCTTTTGATAATCAGTCAAGACATCATTTAGTACGGTTAAAGCCTCCAGACGTCAATACATTCATTTAGATTTAAAAAGCGCTTTTGAAGAAGGAAACAAAAGGGGAAAACCAGCTACATCTGACTGCTCGTTTAAAACCATGTTGTTGTTGCTGTTTTTTTTTTTTTTTTAACAGGACAGGAGACAAATAAAGCCAGTTAAGGTTTCATAAAAAACAAAAAACTAAGCTTTATTGACAAACTGCTGCAAAAAACATCTTTTGGACAGATTTAGTAACCTATTTAGCCAAGCTTACACATGGAGCATAATCCATTTTTAATGGAGAGGGTACAGATACTAGTGGCAGAGTAAGTACAATTAGGATATTTTTAAAATATGTACAAGAGTTCGGATTGAGCTGCAGGATCCCTTCTCTACAGGAAGAGAAGACCCATGTGGAGATTTTTGTCCCAATCCTTCTTTTTTTTTCTTCCTCGGACTTTGTGCATGCAGTTTGTATAGAATCAAATCACAATGAAGACCTGAACTGTGTTTAAATTACCATTTACCAGCCAGATTCTTATTAAAAACAATTATTTTACTTTTCTTTTTTAGATTAAAAAAAATGAGGATATGAGGACAGTCCATCTCAACAGTGTCTATTAGGGCTATATTTCAAAACTCTACGCACAATAACAAATATTGCTGCCTAAGGCTAATTGAACAATTGTTTTAGTACTATTTAAAAACAAACCATTATAGAGAATGAATTGTACCGATTCCATTAACTTTGCTTTAGCCTTAAACTTAATTTAGGATTTTTTTTTTTGGTTTTGGTTTAGATATTACAGGATTTAAAAGAAAGGGTTAAAAGGTCATTTAATAATGGGCTATATTAACAGAATTTTGAAATGTAGCCTAAGTGGGAATCTGCAACTGACCCTTAACAGGTGCTTTATATTTAAAACAATTAAAACTGATTCTTTAGACAATTAGTTCTTGAGCCACTAATTCTACGAGAACTAACTATTTCCAAACATTGAGAAACAGAAACAATGCAAAAAAGCCAAAGAGGGGGGAGAAAAAATATACAGCAGGAAGGAAAAAAAAAGAAAAAAGAAAATAATCAAAATGGAAGCTTGACAAGGTGCCCACGAATCCTCTGTGACCAATTGAAAAGCCACTCTGGTTGGCTGGACAGGAAGTATGACAAAAAGAGGGTGGAAAGTAGGGGTGGGGTGGCGTTTGTGGTCAAATCTTGAAAAAAAAAAAACAGTCCCAATTTCCAGTTCCCAATTGGCTCTGTCGGGTAGAAGTCCAGTGAAAGGGGGAAACCAAAAACAAACAAAAAAACAACAAAAAATAAAAAACAAAACCCAAAAAAAAAAAAAAAGAAAAGACCAAACCAAAGACAAACGGACAATTACTTTTGTCAGGCTTGTTAAAGCGAGAGCTGCCGTGGTAACGGGCGATTTATCGGGGCAACACTAAGGGTGGAGAGGGTCCGTTTCACTTCAGTACTGTCGGTAGGGGTGCTCCCGGTAAGCCGTGCTGCCGCCTCTAGAGGGGGGAGGCGCTTTCCCTGCAGCCGTCCGCTGGGTGCCGTTCCAGTCGTCCTGGGCTGGACAGGAAATAGACGGAAAATAAAGTCAACAAACGGTTCAAACACACAAACGGCCTTTAACACCGGCGTGGCTCCACTCTACACGGCTACAAGGGGTTTCTACTAGCGACTGCTACATTTTAGGAATCCAAGAATGCAGAGTTGGCCACGAAACATCACAAGACTATTGGTCAGTGGTTGGTAGTGGGTGGAGTGAATGTGGGTGATGAAACCAGTGAGTGACTCCAAATAATTTCCAACAACTACTGAGCAGATCTGGAGTTTTTTTTTTTTTAGCAGACTGAGCAGAACACCCAACATTCATAACGCGTGCATGGCTCGATTGGGTTTTTCCATTTCTGGGAAAAATGGTTTTTTTTTAAATCGCAAAAAGGAAATGAAAGTTTTGTTTAGTTTCTTTTCTGTTTTTAAAACCTAAATGAAATAATGTCCATCCATAGTTCAGCTATCCAAATTCAACTGTTTTAATATGTAGCGATATTGGAAATGGCACAAGCACCAGAAGAAGAGTTTGTTCATGGTAAGATCATCAGATCTCAAAGACTCAAAAACATAAAGTCTCTAAATAAGACGCACATATCAGTGGTGAGACTTGGGCCGTCTCTAAAGTGCTAAGAGAATTAGTAACGCACCCACAGTTTGTGCAATAATGTCCAGTTCCAAAAGGTGTAACAACAAAACCTAAAGCTAGTCTTTGCTTGAACCATTTAAATATACATAAAGGGTAGTTTTTTTTTTTTTGTAATATGTGCATTAATTTAGCATAAGAAAAAAAACCCCAAAAAGAACTACCTAATTTGTTTTTGTCATGTTTTAGTTTGAAATGGGAAGCAAAAAAAAAAAAATAAAGAATGAACCATACACGGATTCTCCATGTCAACCGTTGTGTTTCGTTTGTTATTGCGCTACTTTTCAGATTCTGGTGGTTGCCCATAACAACAACCTCACTGACCAAAGCTGCTTGGTGGTCAACAGTAAACAGTAACAGTAAAAACCACCTGAGCTGGGTGGAGAAGAGCCAAGTTGATGAGAACCAGAACAGAAAAAAAAACCATCACCAAGTGCAGCATCAAATTTGTCCCACAAGGTGAAGTTCAGAAGGAAGTTATGGAGGATTTGTGATATGATGGGCAAATTTTCAAAGTTAAGATTCAAACATTAACTGGAAGGAGGGCAAGAAATCCAGGAAAAGACAAATGGATTGATGGGACAGTTTCTTCTTTCATACTAATCCAGTCAAGAAAAATAGACAAAATTTCAACCTGACACCAGACATTATTCACCATGATCCAAACAACAAGCCACCTATATATTCAGCATTTTGTAAAGGTTTTCATACCACAGAGGCTTGGCCACATTTCCTCATGTTCTATCCAGATACAAAGTAAACTAGAGTTAGAAACCGCTGTGTTCACATGAATGTGGCAGAAATCAAACATTAACATGATTTAGGATTTGCATTCTAGCATGCCACATTTCAGATTTCCATTTCTTAAAAACAAAACTGAGGATTTTCTTCCTCCACTACTAGCACTACTGTTCTGGTCTATTACAGAAATGACACACAAAATACATTCAGGTTTATACCAAGTTTCTGCACCAGCTTTAGTCAGAGTTGGTGCATTTAGTTCATTTGAACTAAATGACTAAAGCGATCTCAGCTGATAGAAGTCGGCTCTTACCGTATGACTCGTACAACTCGGTCGTCTCTCCGTGTCCGTAGTCGTAATATTCTGGTTCTCTGGTAATTGCAAAAACAGAAATGAAACCGTTGAGAAATGAATGTTTCATCTCTGCATAACATCACTAGGTGCTGACTGCAATAACCAGGCAGATGACATTTGTCTTTTACAAATGAGCGTTAATCTCAGTGCTCCATTAGACAACATCTGAGCTCAATCAGATCTTCCTGAATTCCACATGAAGAACAGAAACTGCAGAGCGAACGTGGTTGATGTGAAAAGGTGAAAACCAGAGAGTCGTCTGATTCACTTACGCTTGCGGCTGGCTGTAATAGCTGTCGTAAGACTCGTAGGCTGTGTCTGTGTAGTTCTCGTCGTAACACTGGAGACCAGAAGAAACAGACAGAGCTTTAAGGGGGGGCTTGTTCACGATCCTGAGTGTCAAGATGTCCCTTGGAAAACATCCTGACAGTAAAGCTGACACCATCCCTGATGTTCACATTTAGAACTGCACAGTAGCACGCCGTCGACTTAAAGCCTATGCTGGAAAAAAAACAGTAAGAGTTGAAGGATTAGAAACAACTTACGTATTCGTCATAGTTCTCTGCGCCGGCGCCGGCCGTGTGCTGGTGTGCAGGGGGCGGTGCCATCCTCTGAGGCGGGCCGCCAGCCGGGGGTCTGGCGCGTGGTGCCACAGCCCCTCTGGCGGGGGCAGCGGGAGGTCCTCCTCTGCCTGCGGGGGCGCCCCTCACTGCTCCGCCCCTGGCTGGGCCTCCTCTAGTCACACCTCCTCTGGCTGCAGCACCGTGAGGAGGCATCCCCCTGCCCCTGGAGGGAAACGAGGGCAGAGTGAACACGCATGGCTCTCTGCATGAGGGGAGAGCAACGGTTCAATCCAGCCAACACATCACTCTGTTATCTGTTTAGGACCTTTTAAACAGACTACTTCATTTATTTTCTTCACAGAGAAAGCACATTATATGAAGTAGCATCACATGGTTTTGATTTTTAAACCTCAATGTAGCAGGATACAAATTAAAATCACAAATATAACCACATCAAATTTGCAATATTAAGTGTTTGGAAGCATTGAATGTGGAAGAAGCAACTAGTAGCTAACTTGCTACTGTTAGCCACAGGTAAAATTAGCCTACAAGCCAACATTGCCTTTTAACATATTTCAGGTTTCATATTGGTGTATATATTGCAGTCACAATCATAATTTTAACTTTGCAATAGAATGTTTAGAGCACAATACATGGAGCAAGTTATTAGCCAACTTGCTACTGTTAGCCACTACAAACAAAAATGAGCATTTTAGCAAATTTGTTTTTGCATCATGAACAGAGTATACTGCAATCAAAATAATCAACATTTTTACCATGCTATCTGTAATATAGAGCTGCTTACAGCATATTATTTTGTGTTTAAATTACTATTTAAACCAACATTAGATTTAAAGCTTTTGTGTTTTTTTCAAGGTGAGTGTTTTACGGTACACACTGATTATATTACAGTAACAATAATCAACTTTTTATGTTGCCTTTCCAATATAAAGCTGTCTATACACAGAGCAAATTTCTTACTAGCTAACATGCTACTGGTAACCACTATAGTAAAATTAGCATTTAAGCTAACATTGGCATTTCAGTGGATTTTAGCTTTTATGTTGGCTTTTTCTTAGTGAATGGAGTATATTACTATATATATACTGAGTATATTACATTTCTAGCTTTCTTAGCTTTATCATGTTAACTTTGCAATATGCAGCTACAGATATGAGGGAAAATGCTGCTGTACATTTGCCCCGACCCTCATAATGAGTGTGTAAACAGGGCTGCCCCTCTACCTGTGTGCTCCAGCAGGGGGGACACCACGGCCCCTGACAGGCATGCCCCCTCTGCCTCTGCCTCCGTGCTCCTGGCCCCCATTCAGGTAGCTCATCTCCATGAACTGGCCCTGGCAGATATCATCCATCATATCCTGCAATAACACACATGCAGCAGAAAAAACACAGAAAGAAACCGTTAGGCGCATCATTACCGCACATTGGAACGTTGGGGACTTAAAACAAAACAAGGGGGAAAAAAAGAGGATATACAAGAGCTTAGAGCAAGAGGGGGAAAAAAAGCTTCTGTGCCAGTGACTCAGACTGTTAAGGAGAGGAAGAACAGGGAGGTGGGGTGGACTGGATAGCTTCCATCCACACTCTATCCCTTCATTCCATCATGCAGAAAATGTAAATCTCATCTCTCTACACAGCCTTGACAAGTCTAGTGTGACTGCATCAGCAGCTACCTTATTTTATCTGCAAAACAATAAGTTGGGCTGAATTAGAGAAGCAGCGTGCCTGAGCAGCGCAAATCTAGCGATGCGAGCCGCTGGGTTTTTTTTCCCTCTGTCTCTCTCTCTCTCACTCTCTCTGTCTGTCTCTCTCTCTCTGTCTCTTATGTGACCCAATCAATTCTTGTTCATTCATCAACCCCAATGCAGCCTTGTTAAAGACGGATCTGTAGACATGTAGCGCTGTGGACGGGAACACTGCGGCAGTGATCTGCTGTGGCATTTACAGCAGTCAAATACGAGGCTGCACAGATGCTGGAAGGATGTCAAATCCTCGGAACACCTGAACACAAATAATGGAGGTAAAGGACTAATTTTCTCCAATAACACAGCCTCACGTTTTCTACAACCGTTTCTCAAACTCCAGCTTTGTTCCACATGACAGCCCGACAGATTACAGGCTTTAATTGTTGTGACAGGTGCTGCAGGGGACAGCTCTTTACATGACAGCAATACTAACGCTGCAACTAGTTCTCTCGCTTATTCATCTTGGTTCTCTTCAGAATGAGCCTGTTGTGGCACCATGCACAATAAGAGCCGCCTTGTACAACGCCGCCGTCCCGACTCGCCCTCGTTGGATTGTTGCGATCCAGAGCAGAGCCCGACATGCAGACCCTCCCTGGCTCGACTGTAGCAGATAGAAACCGATAAAGCTGGTGTCAGCTCTGTGTGTGTCTGAGTTGGACATTTTCAGGCAGGGACTTTGTTGAACATGCAGTGATGGACAGACATGCGGGTACCGTGCTGACACGGCGAATGCAGCCCCAGTGCTTCCTTTTGAAGCCGATTGCTTCGCGTGTCTGGACTGTGCCGTGGATTGTGTTTGCTCAAGGTAAACACCCACTCCATTTTCCCCACTCTGTCTTTTCTGGGCCCCCACCTAGAGCTCTTTCCATCTATAATGCAGCAAGTCGCCCTGGTAAGGCGCTGGAGCCTTGTACGAACCAGGTTTGCATGCAAACAGCTTTCAGATTCCAGCGATCAGAAAAGATGAGGTGGAATCTGAACAAAAATATATTTTGGGAGGGGTGGGGGATGGACTTCTCATTTTTAGCTTTTAGACAAATTAATTCATTTAACACTAATGTACTGAGCAGCCATACTGGTATGAGGCAGGGATCAATATGGGATTCTCACTGTATGATTATGTTAAATAAAAATACCACCATTTCATATTATAAAATGAAAACGTATATAATTCAATTGTTTTTAGTTCTATGAGAGAATCAGCAATTATTCCTACTGCTGATTATACAAAAATAGTGGCTTCAACATGAATAGCAATTGAAAATATTTGCCATCAGATGAAGAATTACACTCTTGTTTCAGCCTATGAACAGGCAGTGCAGAGAGGCAGCAGGTGGGGGAGAAGCAGTATTCTGTAAAAATAGAAATAAAAACCTCCAGCCATTCTGAAATTTTCTCTGGCCTGTGATTAAACATGACAGCTGCAGATTTCTGAAACTCATATTCAAGACTTAAGACCTTTTTAATGCCACCTTGAATCAAATTTATGACTGAAAAAATCTATAAATGTAGGAGGGGATATTTTGGGGGGGACTCTTGCTGCATTATAATCAAGCATAGCAAACACTAAGAACCCAGCTTTGTGCCCATGATGAAGCCAAAAAAGCTTGCTTGCTAGCTAGCTACCTAGCAAGGATGTGTTAGCAGCTAGTCATCGGTAGCCTCAACCGTCTCAAGTGACAGGATGTATTCAAGATGTTTGCAGGTGAGTCAAACTTTTGCCTGCCAGAAAAGCCCCGTGAGAAAAACAAAAAACTACATAGAATATTCTAGAATAAATGGTCACGGCAAAACAAAATTCAAGACCTGTGACTGACATATTTAAGGCCAACTGGATTTTTATAAATTCAACATTTTGAAGGCCTTAATTTCAGACAAATTTAAGACTTTAAATGATGAGCAGATTAAAAATACCTTACACAGTAGAAGTGGTGTTAGAGCTGAGCAAAATATTGAACTCCAAACACATAAATTGCATGTTAACAGCTCGGCCATTATTTATCAAGTGTAAAAGTTACGCTCTGCAAGGCAATTCTATCTGCAGCCAATTGGATGGACTAACTTGGCTTAATACTCATAACTTATACAGGACTTGGAGGCCAGGATGTTGGAGCTCCTTAGGAACACTGAGATAGTGGCAAAGAGTGAGGAAAATGTGGGTTAATCACTTGTGGTTATTACAACCCCAAAATTTTTGCATGCATTAAGTTGATTCTTAATTTCTAAAACCTCTAAACTGTAATGACTTTGGTCGTATGCATCATATTTCAATGTCAATCTGGTCAGAAATGTTAAATGTCTATTTCTACCAAAATAATTTTATACGCTGCAGTTTAAAAAAAAAAATCAGTCGTGTTGATTGATGAGCCCAGGTTGGTTCCCAGTGCTAGCTTATTTAATACAGTGTTTCTACAGGTAAATCCTTTAATGTCAAAACCACACGAATAGCAAGAGTGGCTTTCCTCCACTGAATGAAGTAGAAACTCTACACCTCCAATATGTTTCTGAGCTACTACACTTTTCCTCCACTTACAAAGACAGATTCTGGGATTTTTGGTCGCATCAAAAAGGACCAGCAAGATACGACTGGAATCTCTTGCTACATTTATGTGGCGTTTAATCTAAACATTTTGCTTTAGATGGAGCAGGAAGATAAAGAACATCAACCCAGACTTAAAGTACTTCCACTGGCTCCCTGTAGCTCAGAGAATAGACGTTAAAAACGTAGTTTATAAATCACTCACGGCTGAACACTACAATGTATTAAAGATCTATTAAGATGTACATTATCTTGATTTTGATTTGACAAAATGTGACATTTATTGGTTATTTTGTTACTGCATAATGTTTTTATGATGTAAAGCACTTCAAACTGCCTTGTTGATGAAATGTGTAATACAACTAAACTTGTTCAAAGCAACAGAAACAATAGATAAGATAGTTGGATTTAGTAATCAAAATGTTTTTAAAAACAAGTAGGAATATTTATGACTGTTTAAACAAAATTACAGTGGAGCTTTTATTGGTCACAACTTGAGAGACACCCGTCTGCTGAATGACTGCTATAATCACTGACTGCAGATGCGGCTACATTGTAGCTCAGCACAAACAGGGAACGTGTGTATTAGTTTAAAGCACTTTGGAGTCCTCAGACCTTTACAGAGACATAAAAATACATTTCAAATTGTAGGTTTAGTTTGAAAAAGACAAGAAAAATAAATAAATAAATACCAACAATAATAGTAATAATCTCACAAAGAACAAAAATAAAAAGTTAAAGGTCACAGAACTGGATAATGAACACTTGTAGTTTAGGAGGGAGAAACTTACAGGAAACAGGAACTTCTTCACCTCCTCCATGGCGTGCGCCATGCGCAGGTAAGCGTCCGGCACGGGGGCGAACACCTCAATGAAGACATGCAGCTCCATGGACAGGTGGGCGTACTTGGGCTCGCCACCTTTCCTCAATTCCTCCTCCTGAGACGAGCAACATCAGAGCAGTGTCAGCGAGCCAGAGGGAGTGCGGCCTTACTCAAATATTACATGAATTATGCAGGGCGTTATCACATTTCATCCACCTTGGGGGCGAAAGAGGGGGTGTGATATTGCTGCTTTTACAGAGCCCAATAATCACACCGAAGTGGAAGGGTATCCTAAACCCGATGTGCAGCATTCTCCTTTCTGCCTTATATTTGGACTTCCTGCAGGTTAGCAACATCTCGCCTCCTCCCCAGGGAAAATCCACATGTGTTGCAGCGTCTGCTACGAGTGTGTGACGTACCTTGGCTTTGTCTCTCATGGACCCCTTGCCCAGCACAGAGATCTTGGCGCCGGTCTCTTCCTGCAGACGCTTGATCGTGTTGCCCTGCGGTCCCAGGATCTTCCCCACGAAATTGAACTAAACAGAACAACAAAGCCGAGGAAAATTAGCCTGACAATCAAAGTGGGGGCCCCAGTTAAATACCAAGAGATTGAGGGAGCAATCACTGTCAGGGGCCTCTCTGCTAAGACACACACACACTGCAGACAGAGTCGATATGATCCCCTGAGGGCTGGAGCGCTGTCAGCTGCTATCATCCATGCACCGAGCCAGACCCTGCTGCTGATCAAAAGCTGCAATCTTGGTCTGAACCGAGTCATGACCGTGGATTACAATTAGCTGTCATCCACAACCGTGCTTAGAGGTAACAGAATTTTATTTTTTTCATTTTTAAAGCAGCTTTGAAAGAAGAGAGCAGTCTCTGCTTTGATTTCTGAAGCAGTTTTGGCAAATGAGCTAAGTCAGCTTCAACAGCGGTACATTGTGTACGGAATCGAACCATGTCTGGAAGATCAAACGGAAGATCACTCCCACACAAGACACGCTCAGGCTTCATGTTGATCCAACATCCAATGGAGCAATAATAATATTTCTAGGGCTTAAACAATTCATCAGATTAAATATGATGAATCGATTATTTGAATAGTAATCAACTAAATTAGAAGTCGATTGATCGTTATCTATTTAAAAGGACCAAAACAAGGGAATTTTGATGAAGCACAATGAGAACAGAAATTAACCAAAGCTGTACAGAAATACATACATTTTTCATTTCAACAAATGAAGTTTGTAAGCTTTATCCTGAACTTCTTAAGCGGTGCAGTTTAGCTTCACATGGTTTGAATTACATTTAAAAAAATGTATATAAAAAAAACAAAAACAAAGAACTCACAAAAAAAAAAAAAAAACACTCCCAATATGCAAAATCTGCAGAATGCACCAATTTTGTCTGCAACTAAACATCTGAATAACCAAATAATCACCAGAAAAACAATTGTTATAATAATTTGATTACTAAAATAATTTAGTTGCAGCCCTAAATGTTTCTGCCGTCCTGTTTAGGGGTTAAGACTAATAGCGATATAACTAACATTCCTGGACAAATTTAGTACAGCCAACATTTAAACTATCTTAGCATCTCACAATATTACTGAGTCAATCCGTTTTCTCATAGATAGATAAATAGATACTGAGCTTATCTCAGATTTTCAAAAGGCTAACAGAAAGCTCAAAGAAATAAATAGAGCAGCTTTGCTGTAAGATGTTCAGCTTTCCTGTTACTTCCTCTAAATATCAGCTCTTGCTCAGTTTGATTTCTTTTGAAAAACAGACATTTGTTCAGTTTCTTAAAAAAAATTACTAATAAAAACAGTCTGAATTGATTTAACCACCTTATAAATACAAAAAATGGCGACCTTGAAGTTATTGTATTGCAATAAACGATAATATTGTTGTATTGAGATTGTTTTCATGCAATACGTTGTTAATGGCATAATAATGAAAGTTTTCCCTCTCAAATATGAACAAACTTTCATTTTGTAAAAACTTAACACGGGAACCAGAAGACATTTGAGATAGTCAAAACACACTACTAAATAAAACAAAACAATAAAATGAAAATAAAGATCCCACTTACAACCAAATCAATAATTATGATTATGATATTGAATAAAACTGCCCTTACAAGATTTGAACATGAAGGGAATCAAAATGAACCGTTTGGTCCACTTGTTGTTTGCTGTCATAGTCAGGAGTTTAGAAAGCAGAGGTCTGCACCAAACCGGGAAGCTGCTGAGTAACACATGACTTTGTGAAATTGAAACATACAAAGCCACGGTGGTCAGCTGGTAAACGATCAGGCAGTTCAGACAATTGCAAAGCGTCTCACCTTTGGGTACTGTTTGACAGGAATGAGCACTCGCTCCTTGAGTTTGATGTTCTTTGTTGTGAAAAGGTCCAGGTAGGTCTCCGTCTCCTTCTTCGGCTCTCCTTTCTGCACTCTATCGATTTCTGGAGAGGGGAGGAAAACTTTTTATATGCAACCAAACTGTATTGTTTGTATCGAGAGGAAATTATGGACATAGAAAAAAATGAATAAAAGAGCCGCAAATCAGTTTAAAAATCAAACTTGAACCAGATAGTTGATAGTTTTACAAACTTTGGTCTAGAAATGAAGGGCACATTAAAAAACAAAAGCACTCCTGGAGGATTTTATAATATTCAGCCTTGTTTTAATAAATAAACAAAATCATGGGTTAATTTGCTGATGCTTATTGAATAAGAAAAATGCGATCCTTATTTTATTGTTTAATGTTGTCAAGACAACCCACATTTATCTCATTACAGTGAAGCCCCTGTATTTGGATGGTTCAGGGACCAAAACCACTTGCAAATATCTAAAATCAGCAAATACTTCAGACATACTTCAAAAACTAATAACTGACTATTTTAATAGTTCAAACAATGAACAGAACTTAATATGCATTAATAAGCGCAATGGAAACCGTCTTAGCACTAAGACAGTAGCTAACATCTATAGTTTTCCTCATTACAACTCTTGGGGCAACAGCCAATCAGCAACAAGGATAGGCAAATGGTGCTCCTGGATTGGCTGCGTCACAAACACTGGCCAATACAGTGTCAAGTAGCATTGACTGGGTACTCCAGGTCCCAGAAGCATTTTTCTTTTGAACGTTTTAGAGAAAAATCCACAAATAGGTACATTTTCCACAAATAATTTGAAGTTCTACAAATAGGCGGACGTCCACTCTGTGTTTTGATGTTGCTGTGGTGCATTAGGATGTTTGCATGAAAGTGAAAGCTCTTCCAAGTGAAATGATTTGCATTTCTACACATTACTGACTTAAATGCCACCAACAAAATATTGCACCCAAGCAGTCCTTGCACAAATTTATACTGCAAATCAATGTTGTTCCTGATCCATTTGTTAATTTTATAGTTTATTTCATAATTTAAGCTATGGGTAAGCAAAATTTTAAGAGCATTCGAGCATTTCTACAGACTCTTCAATGAAGAAAAATTATAACTTTTCTCTGAAAATTATAATTTTTAAGAAACTGAATGAACAGCTATTAGTCTGCTGACATGCTGAAATAATTAAAAACAAACACTTAAAGATGTTTAAATAGTTTATGGTCCCAGTTTCAAAGGAAATAAGGTAAATCTTTAAAAAGTAAGATTTGATAAAAACTCAAAGTAAATAATCTTCTCACTTTTTGTTATTGACCCTCTTTCCTGCAACTACTCCTTTCACCAATACAACTTAAGCTGAAAGATAAACCAATGAAATATGTCTACCTATAGAAGATTTTTAAAAAGTACATTTTTGAAAATCATATAACACTTTAATTTCAAATACCCAACATAAAAAACAAATTGAAATTGATTATGAAGTCTGTAAGAAAAATTGCAATTAAATTTTTGCCAGTGCACAACCTGCCACTGGCAAAAGTGGTAGATAGTGCAAACTGTCAAGTTTTTTCAACACTATCACAGGGGAGAATCTCTTAAATGACTGTTGTTCAAATAATTGGACTCATTCTAATTTATCATTCCCTTAATTGATTTAATTCTTATTGTGAGACTTACCTGCAACACAGCGAGAACAAAAAGTACCTCAAAACCCCATCCAAAGCCTGGCATCCACTGGTCACTTTTCCCAGTGGATATTTTTCCTCCCCAATGTCATTGGACAAAAGTGTCCCATCTAAATCATGTCCCATCTATCCCCATCCCACTGTTGCCAATTTAGCAACTTTGTCGCTATATTTAGCACTTTTCAGACAAAAAGAATTGATATCTGCCAAAATTGGAAATGGCAGCAAAGGCTGTTTTAAAGAACTCGATCGGACAGAAAAGTTGAAAGTTCAAAAGTAAAAAAAGTTGTGACGCACCAGTTATCTGGCCATTGACATGTAAAAGTGAAATCTGCCAAATAAATACCGAAAAATATTGTATTTCCAGAAGAGATACGAATCATCAGTTGGAATCGGCCAATTGTTCCATCATTGGGTCAAATATTTAAAGACCACTTTACATATTTAGGGTTCAAGAATTTACTTTTTCCCCAGACTTATCAAGACCAGGTTTTTGTTTCAAGATTTCCTAATTAACAGAATGCACTTTAATAAACGTTAAACTCGATTTTTTGATAGTCTCTCTTTGGGATAATCAATAGGATACAATAAGGATAATCCCGTTATTTCTTACATTTCTGACAGACTCAAAACTTATCACTTTTCCTGTGTCCTATCACTTTTACGGTCACTTGTAAAACCGTCAGTAGTAAGCATATTTAAGTGATGTCTAGTAAAAATCAGTGAGGTACTGTAACCGGACAATTCACCCCATCATTCCCACAAACCACCTTGTGCCTGTTTAGTGAAATCATTCCATATTAGTTTATTTTGCAATAACTACTTTAACAAATCATAAGAGATAAGAGCTGGTTCATATGTTGTCTAAACACTTTCCTGCAATCCATTTAGTTCCGCTCCCTGTTTAGGCTGACTGAAACTTGGCTGGAAATCCTAACAACTGACTGACAGAAAACAGCTCTTAGAAAACACTGCATCACAATCACAGTTACTTAAAGTTAACTACAAGTAAATTAGAGAATATGAACCAAATATTCCATCTGGCACAGATCAATTTCACACCCAGAAAACTATGGTGGAAAACGAAAGTAGTACAAAGAAACATAATGTGGAATGTTATGGATTCATGCAAAAATATTTTTGATTTGATCCGAATTGCCTTTATCAAAGAACTTGCAAAAAAATTAAAAAAAAACATTCAGTGTCAAAGTTTGCGTGATCCAAATAGAGAATTTGATCAGTGCATCTCTAGTAAAATTTATATTGTTAATTCTATGCCTGTTAATTCTATGCCATGACTGTAGTCCTTTACAGACACTATAGCCAATATTATTAATCAGTAAATGAGTCTGTTTATTTTTCTATGAAGCATTAAGTGTCACCGCTATGACCCTGCAGAACTTCGTCTTGTTACATAATAATTTCAATGTACTACTTAGGGTATTAAGAGTACATTTTCTTCACTTGAACAGAAGTTCAAACATTGAAAAAAAATTATTATTTTTAAATGTCATAACCAAATGAAGTTACGTGGAGACCAAAGTGAAGAACTAAAACGGGCAGAAGGGGTGTTTCCACAGCAGTCCCAGATCCGCCATGGCTGCCGTCTCTACAGAACGGCGGCTCACACCGGGACCTCGAGCCCATTTACACCTTAATAGAGGGCCGAATCTCGGCTTTCGGATGTCGGGGTTAGCGGTGTCCTGGACACCTGACTTATACCTGTACGCTGCTGTTCAACAAAGCCGCCAGACGCGAAGTGAAACCAACAGAAACACAACGATGAGGACAAAGGACGGTTTGTCTGGGAGCCATTAAAGTTTGCAAGTTTGAACTCAGCACGAGCCTCGACTGTGTGACCGACGTCATGTCGCAGCCGCGCGAGGGGGAAACGGAAATCCTTCAGCTCGACTACATGGGAGTGCGCGACGCTGCCCGAGGTCTAAGTCATTTTCTGGTTGAGTCATAAGTCATTAACCGCCATTTATCTTCACCGCGGAGCTACAGGAGCCCTCCGCGTTGGCGCTGCAGTTGTTTCGGGGCTTGTGCCAAAGCACACTGCGCTACAAGAGTGCAACTGTGTTCCTCTGCTCCCTCGCGCTGCCTGTCAAAGCACACGACTAAACACACACAGAAAACACAATTTAGTAGTGGTCTACCTGAGTTTAAAAGTTTCATGGCGTGCGTGAACGACGAGTCCAAGCTGTCCTTTTCCGCCAGCAGTTCGGGGAGATATTTATCGTCGTTCTCCATCTTGTTGAGTTCGCAGAGGCAGTCGGCGTGGATGGTGGAAGATGAGAAAGCGTGGGAAAACTCCAACAGGAAGACCAAAAAAAAAAGTAGTCCGTTTATGTTGCTACGTCGTGCCGAGTATCCCAAGAGTAGACGGGGCTTCGCATGTGGCTCACGGTCGGACGGCTCCGCGCTTTGCCTCGGTATTGGTTCCCTTCGCAGGTTGGCCAACCTCTTCTCGGAAGCGCGGACTCGCTGGAAATGGGAGAACAAAAGCAGCGAAGGGTAATACGGCTCCAAAAAGCGGAAATGAGCTCAGAGGGACGTGGTTCTCTGGTCTGACCCCGCCCACCGCGCGTTCACTGGACTACAAGAAAGTTGAATATGAAAACTGTCCAGGGCGCTCTTAAGGTAGTAAAATCTACAAACACTTTGATTCAGAGAGAAATGAATCTTGAAAAGTTGCATATAGTATATTGTATATTGTTGTATATAGAAGTGGCCAATAGGGGCGCCCCCATAAAGTTCTGTGCGGGTGGCCACAATCATGGAGGGAGGGAAGATGATCTGTGTAACACTTTTCAAAATGCTTCATAGAAAAATAAACAGACTCATTTACTGATTAATAATATTGGCTATAGTGTCTGTAAAGGACTACAGTCATTCTGTGGCATAGAATTAAAAAGTTGTGTAAGTTAATATTCTACAAAGCATCTATCTACCTTTTAAATAGATTCATACACATATATGAATAATCTGACTTCAGAAAACAAATATCACAGCAAAAACCAAATTACAATTGTTGCCATTTTTTTTTTAGGTATTTTGCTTTGGTAAAACCTCCAAACTTTGGCACAACAACAACAACAAAAAAAAATGTTTAACATTTCTCTGTTGTTGTTTTTCAATCCAACCCAATTGCGTTTTAAGAATTATATTCCAAAGATCAGCCGACTCGTTTGCATACGCTTTTCCAACCCCCACAAATGTTTGCATTGTCAGCTTTAAAATAGTGTAACTCTCTTAGCTTTTGACCTAGATTTTCATCCTGGTATCACTTCAAATCTGATGTGAGCTCTTCTAGATAACAATCGATCTGACATAAAACAATGTTTTAATGTAAATTTTTTGTGAAAGATAATACAGCCAAATAAGTAAAAACATAAGAAAACAGACTTTTCAAAGCTTGTATTTTATCACAATGTGTTTTAAGTGTAAAACATATTTGTTTTTGGAAATGAATCTTTAAAAGAACTTACAAGTTTATTCGTAATTTTTAACTTTGTCCAGTTTTGTTCTCACAATGAGCCATTTTCCGTATATGTCTCATAGCACAATAAAACAATGCAAATCAACACATCAACAAAGTATAGTACAAAAAGTTTTTTCTTGGTATCTTTATTGACATTTGTGTGAAATTACCAGAAAATATCATTGCAAGAAAAATATTTCCAAGTGTGATTCGTCAAAATTGATTTTCATATTCATTGAAGCGCATGTATTGTGGAATGTGGCCTTTACAGAATAAAAGAAGTGTGAAAAACATGCCATATGATGACAAACACCCTATCGATTACTGAGTTTAACTCCAGATACATGGATTGTGCAGCACTTTTGACTGAGGCTCTCTACTGCCCCTTAGTGGTCGTCAGTGAGCACGACAAAACAAAAAGGATCCAACCGAAGGTTCTCCCCCTACATAGGCAGTCCTTTTCTTAACCTAATCATCCATTTTCCTCTCCTCTCACTGTATTGATTAAAAAATGCTTACCTGTGAGTGAAGAGCTTTGTGAGAAGAATTACTAGGAGAAGCATTTCAAGGATTGATTTCTTCCACTCAGGCACCTGTAATGAACCTGCCTTCCTGTTCAGTGAAGCACACCGGGTCAGAGGTTGGAGCTGGCCTGTGCATACAAAGCAAGAGAAGGTCTTCCCTCCATGCTGGGCCTCTGGTATAAACAGGGGCATGCATTAACTGCAGATGGTTGCTCCTTGAACAAACAGCAGAAAGCCTGCAGGTCATTTGTCAGTCTGCTGCCAGAGTGAAAACTATTACAATCGACCGCAGGTGTACCGGGGCGTGCATCTGCTCGAAACAAATGAAGGCAAAAATTGTCTGCAATAAACACTTACAGGAGAGCGAAGACCTACTCTAACCATAGGTGCTCAGCTTGATCTATCTCTGACCATTACTGTGTTATTAGTGTTGGGGGGGGGTTGCAAGGTTGTTCTAGCTCCTCTTGTCATTGACAGAACGAATTGCCTGTGAGCTGAATTTCAATTGGCTCATAAAACGAAGACTTTCTTCTTTTGGCAGGTGCAAAGGTTCCGACCCGATAGCTTGCACTCTTGCCTTCTGCCTATGTGGATCTTTGCTGTCCCTAACATACAGGTTCACAGTCTGGGGTAAACAGGGACAGATGGAGGGAGCTACCCACTGGGGTTCCATTTGTAGGCAGCTGCCTCCACTCCAGATCTTTATTACCATTCCTCATGCCCCATAGATTCCAACAAAAAGGCAAGAACTCAACGTGCCTATAGAGCTCGCCCCTTATTAGAGCGGCATTTGGAGCATCAAGGGAGTACGAAACTCCCTCTGAAGTACAAATAATAAAATCTTAATGGCTTCATATGGCATTTATGACTGCCAGCTTTCACAAAATGCAAAAGCAGAGGACTTGAAGTCAAGAAGGGGGGTCTTTTTTGCACTGGCAGGTGGATGAGAGGCGTACCCAGTCACTCGGCAGGTCGTCAGTAATTCATATGGCAAAAGAAACAGAACATGTGATGCCCACTCACTGAGGGAAGTTCAAAGAGATCATGTAACCTAAAATAGATTTTTTTTAAGTAAGCCAGAGTACCTGGAGATGACCAACCCATGAAAGTGCAAGGAGATCATGTAAACTATATTCAAGAAGACCCTGGCAAGGATTCAAGGCAACACTGCTTACTACTGTCCCAGACAAAATATACCATATTCAGAGGATGAAGTAGGGTCTTGCTTGAGATGGAAGAACATCAAACAGTACTTTTCTTAATGTAACGGGTGCTGCGACAGAGGGAATGATCAGTATTCGGTACTATGTCTTGGTCAGCAATAATGCCCATCCGCCAGTCTCTTTTCTGTCTCCACAGACAGTGAGTTGCAGTTGCTCATTTGTGCCACAACATCTGGACACCTGGCAACCGAACCACCACTTTGTAATGTTGACAGAAGGATGTCAGCTGCCACTGCCAGTCGGTTCAAAGTCCTGAAGCTAACAAATCCAGCCTTCCTGTCCAAGCAAACTGCATTACATGTCAGTAAGGCCTGCCTATCAGCAGTACAACCAAGAACTTATTGAAAAAAAAATGCTATATTTCTCTGTGGACATTTGCACTTCACTTAAATCTTCATTGTCAGTATTGTGTGACAAGTGCAGTGCCACATAAGTTGAGAACATTCTCTTGTTTTTTGTCCACACTAAAAGAGTAATGTGTATGATTTTTCTTCCCCAATTATCTTACCCTTATAATAACACTGCTCCATACCAAGCCAGTCATCATTTTATGTCTGTGTTATGAATGGTGTGACAGTGGCCCATGGATAGAGCGCACAACCCATGCAAAGAGTCCTCAGTCCTCGATGCTGTGGTCGCAGGTTTGAGTCCCGGTTTGTCCATCTTTGGCAAATGTCTTTCCTCTCTCACAACCCGCTTCCCTGTCAATTTGCTGTCAAATGAAGGTAAAATAACAAGTCAATAATGCCAGTGAAGTCAGAATTCTGATCGGAAAGTTCATAGTTCATAGCTCCGAGTTTAGCGTTCAAAAAAAGACTATTTCTCAGCCCTTGTAACGGTTTACATTTCATTCTTAGTGTTCTAATCTATAAAATGGCGAGAATTATGTTTTTCCAGTTGTGTTGCCACTTGCAACACAACTGGATATCAAAACATATCTGTTTGTATCAAAACAGATAGAAAACTTCCCTTTCTGTTGACTTGCATGTGCAGCTCCAAATTCCAAGAAAATGCTGATGTAAATCCATATAATTCATTTTCATTCAACCAATAATTCATACGTTTTTCCACTGACGGTGAATATTTTGTGTCAAAGAGGATAAAACTGTGGGACATGTCTGATTTCATCTACATCTTCATGTTGCTTGTGAGAACCGTGTACAACATCTCGCAGCGGCACTGGAGAAAAAGTCTGAATATCCCCAAACTAAAAATGGAGCTTTAGTTTGACATTGAGATTGAAACTTTAAAGGTCGAAATGCTATAAGACAAGCGTCAATTCGACATGAACACGTGTTGGGAAGCCGACAGTCAGTCGGTCAGCAGACAGGGACTTTGCGTGGCTCTCCCGAAACATATATTGGCGGAACGTAACCCAAGAAGAAACAATGACACCTTTCATGGTAGTCAGCTTTAAAGAGAAGGCTTTTATCTCCTTGCAGCATATTTCCCTCGGTCAACGGCGGCCTGGAGGAAGAGATAAAGTGGAGCCAGTGGCGGGACAAATAGAAGGAAAACAGGAATTTGTAAGCTTAAATCTTCTTTACAACACTGTGTCAGCAGAGGCTTTTCCTTTGCCGGAGAGGTTTAGGAAAGAGGGCGAGAGAAAACGAGCTGGAGAGGGTGGCTGGGCTCTGTCTGAGGGTCACGCTCAGTTTAGCATCGCTACAAGACCAGGAAAACCTTTTATTCCCCTTGAAAGCTTTCAGAACTGTCACACCTGCTTAGGTCTTGACCAGCACTCCCCCCCCCTCCTCGTTGGTGACCCGCTCCTCTCCTGTTCTCCAGGCGCCTGCCTCAGCGCCTCTCAGACCTTTTCGCTTCTTGTCCTTTTGGGTGATCATTACATTGACCGTCCGCGAGAAGACTCGGAGAAGGCACAAAAACCGACGGCGGTTTAAAAATGACTTTACCTCATTGCTAAATGAAAGATCGCATTGTTTTGTTTTCGGTGCCTATTACGCACAAAAAGTGCTCGCCTTTTGCCGTAATTTGTTAAATTTGTGTATATGAGAAACATAAAATGTGAAAAATGGAGAATGTCGTACGTCCAAACCCCTCTACTGAGACGTAGGTCCAATTACAGCCCCAATCTGTGCAGATTCTGCTAATACACAAAATGGAATATGAACGATACAATATAAATATTCACTTGGAAGAAACAAATCTCTTGAGCCTGTGGGGGGAAAAAATCCATCTCAAACCTTATTTATAATTCAGCAGCATTACATTAAAACTGCATATATTCTGGAGTCT